ATTAGATGAAATTGAAGTTTTGTTTGGACATGCAATATGAAATTTTTGTGTTGTATAGTTTCTCATAAACATAAAAATTCCATAAGTTGTAAAACTATTAAAATAGCCCGAATTTTTTATTCAATCTTATCAAATAAATAAATAGCCAAATAAATGAAGAGCAAAGAAAATTAAGAGATTATACGAAACTTCCCTGTTTTTCAGGGTCATTTTACAAGATTCTGTCTTGCCAGTGCTGTTTACTTTGAGTAAGCCTGTTTGTATAGTAAAAGGCTAAGCCAAGGGCCGGACCACAAGGGTGTATTGTATGCTACCTCACTGTTTCCACATCAACATTATCACAAAAAATTAAAACTTGGCCTCTCCCACCATAATAACTAGCTTTGGGGTGTGAGTTAACCAGTTACGCCCTAGGTTGTTACGTATTCTTCTTTGCTTGTTCTCTCTCTTCTATCGTGCGCTAAATATCTTCCTCCATTCATTCAGATTCTTTGAGGTGAGTATTATTGATCCGAGAAATGCATACACATCATTCAATACAAACAACATTTATATATTGTATATCATCAAAAGTCATAATAATACATTTTCCCAACTGAAGAAAAGCTTATAAAACTAAAAATCAAATCCAACATCATAAGCTGCAACATAGGAAGAACAAAATCCATTACGCCAGCGTCTTCGTATTCTTGGCATCTGAAAATCTGAAAAAGAATAAGTGAGTCATACCACTATAAATTTTTAGCCTCTGTTCTCACAGTTTCCAACTGATTACTAGCAATTCGTATCAAGCGTTAATAAGTATTTTGTTTATAACAAAAAAGCATAAAACCTAATATATTAGTTGTTAGAATAAACTAAAAAAGATTAGTGTAAAGCTTAGCTTGAATACCTGAAATTCTGAAATCAAATTCTTCTTTACTGGTAACTTGTCTAGAAGTGATTATTTCTTCTTCTGTAACTCTTTTGACCTCACTGCTTCTTTCTCCTTCGCATGATAATTTTGTGTTCCAGTTCTTCAATGATTCTTGCAAGCCATCTTAGATTTCCCGTTGAGATCAAGAAATATATTACGGATAAGCGAATACATAGTCCACTGCCATAGCCCATCAGAGCTGCTTTCCAAAAATCATTGAAAAATTCAGAATTTCTTTCTAGCGACACAGTATAGTTTGTCTCTAACACAGGATCATTGCCACAACCTTTTGAAACAGGGAATCCACGTAAGCCATCATTACCTTCATATGAATTGCTCTCAAAGGTATGAGATTGAGGTCCTTGAGGGATGCATCCTTGGAGATAATTGTGAGAGAGATTTAAGAATTCAAGAGACGTAAGAGAAGCAAGTTGTTGTTGTATCTCTCCCGAAAGCTGGTTAAACGAAAGGTCCATTGATTCCACTACAGATAAACTTCCAAGTGATGGTGGTATATAGCCTTGCAATCCATTATGAGATAAATTAAGTACACAAATCGCAATGAGCTCTCTTAGAACACTAGGAATATGTCCTTCAAATTTATTGTTTGAAAGATCAATAATTGTGTATAAAGACAAAATTTTCACAACTTCAAGCTTCAATCCCTTTGTTACAACAACTACTGAGTCTTGGTAGTATACTCGACTTCCCTTAGAACTTGGTGCCTTCATTGTTTGATCAATAGTCGTCATGCCTTTCAAATGTTGAAACAGACTCGTTGGTAAGTCTTTTGAGAAGGCATTGTTAGAGAGATCTATGATTCGAAGATCAGGAAACACGATTTCAGCCCCTGAAGATCTTATAGGTCCATGCAATTTATTCAATGTCAACCTTAAAACTCTCAGATCTGGCAATAGGACCTACTATAGTATAAGTGTGTCTCTGGTATTTCGGGCATAAGTTGGGGGTACTTATGCATTTTCCCAATATAATATTTTCATTTTATATCTATTAAATCCAATTTTATTTTTTCATACTATTAAATCCAATAATATTTTTTCTTATTGAAATTTTATGTTGCACTCTATAGGAATTTGAATACTTGTATATATTAATTTAATTTCAGACTATATCATACAATTTTTTAGAGAGAAGTATTAAAGACACTCATAAATTCGACGCAAATTATTAGTTTCATTCCTGAACTACTACAACCTTAAAATAACTCGAACTAAATACGGATGTTTAATTATGTAATTTGTCTTATAAAACTAAAAATTCAAATGTAAGATTATACTAATAAATATGGATTTAATTTAATGTTGCAAGTTACGTTTAAAAAAAATTGCTAATAAATCCAGTAAGTATCAATATAAATCTTACGTTATAAATGATAATAACCAAACAAAAATTTAATTTCTTCCCAATATAACAAAAACAATTTTTAGCAGCAATAAATATAAATATTAACAAAGAGTGCTAAAGCATTTACCGACATTAGTTAATTGTCATTAGATTCAATTTTGTTATAGGCTTTAGGGACACTTACAAAGAGAGCTAATTGTCATCAAAAGTACATGTTTAGCGACAATCAAGCTATTACCGCTAAAAATATTTTTAATATAATGTCCATACGTTAATGTTAATAAATAATACAAATAACTAAACAATGTTTTTAGATAAATAAATAATGGTAAGTTGAAAAATATAAAGGAAAGAAATGATAATATATGTTGAGGAAAGAAGTGGCTAGCAAATTGTCCAAAGAGTGAGGTTGGGCCCACACGAAGGGTTGCTTTTTCATCATCACTTTAATATGGATAAATTAACTATATGCATACCTTTATTTTTCATAGTTTCCCTTTTTTTTCACTCCTTTAATCTCTCCCTAATTTCTCTCCACAAAATCTTATCAGTTACAATTTTCGTATCAATTTGATTTTCAAAAGGATTCTCTCTCTAGTCAATCAGATTCAAACTACTCAATAGGTAAGATTCCATGATCTTCTTGTTCAATTTTATTTTTGTTCTTCTTTATTTCCTGATGCATACGGAAAATTTAAACAATTCAAAACAAGGAAAACAAACAAGTACCAGAAATTACCTCTTTCTCTAAGTCGTAAGACATGGCTAAGAGTATCCAAGTATCCCTATATCAATGATTCTCCACATGTAAGTTTCCCTGCATATTCGCCTCCACATAGTGCAAAATTAAACTTTCTGTGCAGATTTCATATCTCTATTGGCATTTCGTGGCCTCTGCAATATGTAATCCCATATACCTTCTGGCAGTTCAATCCATGGCGGCAGAATTTTCTTACGATTTTTTATGTTTGATATGGTCTATGGTGTGTTGGGTCGAAATAAGCCGATACATTATTTTTATCATGTGGTATGGTATTTGATTTGTTGGGGTAAAAAGATGATACATTATTTGATACATTGTTGTCGATACATTATCATGTTGTTTTGTAGCTTGCTTTAAATCTTCTGAAATTATACATAAAATCCTAATTTTGATTTTTTTTTTGGTTTTTCAATATATTGCAATTAATGTATCAAATTATATAGTAGAAATTATTTTGATGGGATGTAATTTGTATAACAGTGTATGATATTATAAAATAGTTTAAACATGATACTTAAATAACATATAATGAATATATGACGTTTCATTTAGTATCAAATACAATATCATCAAGTGGTATTGAGTATCAGTTACTATTTTTATCATTATGTATCAACTAAACAGTAAGATACTTTGTAGTTACTATAATGTATAATGTAATTAAATTTTTGGTTACATTTTAGTTCAAATTTAATTCATTTTTATAATGTATCTACGGAATGTTTGTAGTTGCCTTTGCCGAATTCTTTAGCGATGAAATCAACATCCTATCTAATGGTTTCCGAGCTGACAATCTTCGCATGAGATATGCAACACTTTTATGAAGTATGGTCTCGACAAGGCCTAGGTGGGATATCTTAACGATAAAGATGATCCATCAAAGCCGAAGAGTTATTTGACTCCACCACAACATGATGACTTGGTTCTTGTGGATTAGTAATTATGTATCAATTCACATACAACTTTTGATGTTTTATTGTTTTTAAGATAGATTAACTAATGTTTTGGAGGGTTTATTATTTTTGAAGATACATTTTCTCAAGCTTTACAGTTTTTCTTTAAAAAAAAAAGATTGTTTATTTTGAATGTAATTTTCAATATTTTTAGTATCTTGTTACATTTTGCCTATTATAAGTATTTTACACATCATAGCACTTGATACAATATCATTATCTGATACAAAATATCAAAAAATAAGTATTTGATTCATATATCATGATCTGATACAAAAATATCAAAAAGATGAAACAACCTGAAATCTTGTAAAAGTTAGAGATACATTACATTATAAATCCTCTCTAATGTATCATTTGTAAAAGATGTTATTTCCCCATTTTTGCACTTTCAAGAACCAAATAGAATTCTAGCTTCTTTCAAAAAGTATAATGTAGGTAGTTGTCGTGCCTCAACAAGCTAACTATTGATATATTTTGCAATGTTAGAAGTCATCATGTTCCCTTTGTTCACTGTTGCAATTGTACAAGATACATTAAAAGTTTGCTACTGTTTCATGTATCATTCCAAAAAAAACCAATGCAAGATACATTATTACAACTAATCTCAACATACTATATTGTCCTCAACATTTTACATGTTTCAGATACAGAATAACTATATGATATATTTCATACCAATGTACCATAATTACACACGCATCGTCAATGATATATTAAAAAAACAAAGAAGTATTTCACATGTTTCTGATACTTTAGAATTACCACACAATGATACACAGATCTAAAAATCTAACACATATGATTCAACTTTTTTTTTGAGTAAACATGGAGTAGAAAATTAATTACTTCAAAATGTGTCAAGACTAACAAGATGGACAATATTATAGTCAGAATGACATCAAAAAAAGTATTGAGCAAAGGAAAAGTTCTCTTGACCAACTCATTCTTTAAAAACCTAGTTTAAAATATATCATAGCTTAAAAGTACCTATAGGAAGTATCAACCCTAGACCATCATATCATTCTCTTTAACCCTAAAAGAGCATCCTTCAGTAAGTGTTGCGCGGCCACCAATTGGCTGGCATAACACTTGCTGGCAATTGGGGCATGTAACCACGGTTTGCAAGTGGCTGAAAATTGTTGTTATTTGGAAGCAGCCTTGACATTTGACATCCAGAAAAGTAGAATTAGGTGATTGGACCAAACACATAAGCTTGTGTTTTTGCTTCTCAAGCTCAGTAGGAGGGTGAAGCAAGTCAGTGTCATTTGAAATCTTTGGAATATCCATATTGTCTTGAAGCTTTTGTACGATAACAGATGCTGCAAGTTGCTCAAAGAAAAAAACCCTAGGCTTTGTTCCTTCTTTTTTATGATGCAACCTATTTATGTATAATGTAGTAACTAACGTTGTATCATGAATAATATCAGGACTTATGTATCAAAAAATAAAAAATACTAATTCACAATACAAAACAACTAATCTAGTACAAAGATGAGCGCTACTTTAATTAGCGAGTACCTTTTTCTCAACTTCGACACGTACAGTTCTACTGGATGTAGCATCAAAATAATGTATCTCTCCAGCCATCTTGTCTGTTGTTTCAATGGCGGATTTGAGATTCGATTCAGTAGTAATGGCGGATATGAGATTTACAAAAGAAACCGTTTGTCCAACAACTATTCCATCACTATTACATCGTTCATAACTCAGATCCAGTGGCGGATCCAGGATTTAGAGTCCGTGGGTGCCAAATAGACTTATCGATTAAATTAATTTTATATTTGATTAAATTATTTGTCTTTTCGATATATATCATAAATCAATCAATAAAATGTAAATAATAAGATATTACACTTTTATTGAGTATTTAATCAAATAAAAGAAAAGTCAAAGGAGTAATAATGTAATTAATTTAATTTAAGTCAATAACAATTATAAAAAAATAAAAATAAAAATTGTGCCAACTGGTTTTCCTTAAAAAAACGTGCTTGGAGCCTTTTTTTTTCTTAAAAAACGTCTGCATCAAATTTCTCAAAAAAATAGGTACAAATGGGATTCAAACCCACAACATCAGCCTTCTAAAGTTGCCCTCCTACCATGGCACCACAAGACAGTTTTGTTCTGTGGGTGGCACGCTTTATATTTATATAAATATTATATATATATACTTATGTATATATAGAGTTTCCGTCGAAGTTCGGGGGTGGCGTGGCACCCCCAAACCTCTGCATAGATCCGCCACTGCTCAGATCACTCACTCAAAATTCTGATTTTTTTTTTTTTTTGATAAAGTCATCATGGATCGTCTAATTTGGATCTGTTATGATTTGGGATAGATGGATGAGAAGAAAATTTGAATTTTGAATTCTCTAAATCTATTAGGGATTGGAATAGATTGATATTAATCTCTTTTGCGTGATTTGTGGACTGATAATTAATTTTACATTTAGATTCCTTTTTAAGCGCAACAATCAAGTTATTTAATGTATCAGACGCTATGTATTCGGATGCTACAATTTTTAAGGGATTTTTGTAAGATAGAAAAGAATAGGGATAAAATGTAATTTAGATTTTACACTATGGGATTTATGTAAGTTATACTTAATATAACAAAACATCTATAAGAAATAGAACTTTCCTCCGAGACAATTGGTCAATTGAAACTTAAATAACTAAAATACCCTTCAAAATGCCAAGCAGGCATGTTGATAACAACATTTCCACTGGCTCTTCTAATATAGTAGGTATAGAATATCATTTTTTTTTGTGACTTTTACATTCGAATAATAAGTTATTTATCTTCCCCACTTGAACTATCATCGTTTCAATTTGAAACACAAATTATTCACAAACAACTAAGACTTATGGGTTTCGAGGAGTGAACGTAATTTTATAGTAAGTGGCCTATATGTCAATGAAATGTATAAAAATTATGTGATTTTTCAATCCGCCTAATAAAGTCATATTGCAAAGGGTATTTTATTTTTATGAGACCTCCAAGAGTTTCAGATTTCTCATGCTCGAATATTTGATAAAATTAAATTTCAATGACTCAAATCGATTTTACAAATATATAAAAGGAATTTATTCACTCGGCTTATTTTTTGATATGAAGTATCTTGTGGAATTTGTTAGAATAGGTAATGACCCTTGAAGAAAATTGGATCGCAAATTAATAGTGTTTTATTAGAGATAGATTAAAATATCTCAACCTTTGAGGATGGTTTGTGAATATTAAAAAATCTAATTCCTTCCCTTTAAACGCGACCACTTAGAAGATGGTTTGCGGATTAATTATTATGACTTATAGTACTTTTTACGTAGTTTTTAAATATATAAATTTTATTTTAACAATTTAAAGACTTCATGCCTGAATTTATGATAAAAATTAAATGATTTGGCTCTTGAAAATTCAAACTATACATTATAAATTGAGTTAGAGGGAGTATGCTTCGTAAGATTGTTTTCGCAAAGAATAATTAAACACATTTCTCTAGTCCCAAGAAGAAAAACAAAATAAATTGCAAAGCAACAGGAAACGTATTTTTATCAAATTTGCAAATTTGGCAGCTATCAGAGAAAATGTGGTCATTCTCAAGTCAAATTTTGAGTTGTTTCAGTCAAGGACTCAGTCAAAAGTGGCCAAAATAGTTTTGTTATCAGACATCGGTCATGACCGCTTTTAATGTATGATACCGACATGTTTGGTTCTCAATTCTCATCTCTACAATAGTGGATCACATCCATCAATTCTCAGTTGTAGACGTTACCATGATTCGTAGTGTCTTTGTTACAAATTTGGGTTGTTTTTTTTGTCTTTTAGAAAATGTTGTCATTTTTCAATCTGTCATGACCATGTTGAGAAGGGTGTTTTATTTTGTTGGGATCTGCTAGATGTTGATGTCTCATGATGTGGAACTTTTGAAAAATGAATAAAGAAAATTATGAGATAATGGTCAAAAATATATGTGAATATCACTTTTTTTTTGCGAGTTTTACATTCGAATAATAAGTTATGTATTTTCCCTACTTGAACTATCGTCATCTCAATTTGAATGAAATGTGCAAAAGTTAGGTGATTTTTCAATTTTCCTAATAAAGTCATATTGCAAAGGGTATTTTATTTTTATGATATCTCCAAAAGTTTAAACTTTCTCATGCTTGAATATTTTGATAAAATTAAATTTTAATGACTCTCAAATCAAGTTTACAAATATATAAAAGGAATTTCTTAATAGTGTTTTATTAGAGATAGATTAAGCTATGTCAACCTCTGAGGATGGTTTTTGAATATTAAAAACTCTAATTCTTCACTTTAAACGCGACCACTTAGAAGATGGTTTGTGGATCAATTATTATGACTTATAGTATTTTTTATGTAGTTTTTAAATATATAAATTTTATTTTAAAAATTTAAAGACTGCATGCTTGAATTTACGATAAAAATTAAAAGATGGCTCTTGAAAATTCAAACAATGCATAGAGGGAGTAAGCTACATAAGATTGTTTCCGCAAAGAATAATTAAACACATTTCTCTAGTCCAAAGAAGAAAATTAAAATAAATTGATGATCTACGAGAAACACGTTTCCTTCAAATTTGCAAATTTGGTTGCTATCAGAGAAATTATAGTCATTCTCAAGTCAAATTTTGAGTTGTTTCAGTCAAGGACTTAGTCAAAGTAGCCAAAATAGTTTTGTTATTCGACATCGGTCATGACATGACCACTTTTAACGTATGATACAAACATGTCTGGTTATCAATTTTTATCTCTAAAGTAGTGGATCATATCCAATAATTTTTAGTTTTAGATCTATAAAACTCTTGGTTACATTATCTCTAATTCATGTAGTAGATGTCAAGTGTTGATTTTTCACATAATCACTCAACTATTCAGAAATTCACTTTTCTTTGTTTTGTAACAGAAAAATTATTTAATTGTTGTCATTTAACTTAAAAAGTCACTTCATCAATTCAAGTTATAATTTCGGTAGATAATGATAGTGTGAATTATTTTCAAGCTCTTTTAAAAAATAAAAAGCCAACAATTCTCCGTCAGCCAAGGACATAGTCAAAGTGGCCAAAATAGTTTTGTTATGAGACATTGGTCATGATCACTTTTAATGTACGATACAAACCTGTGTGATTATTAATTCCTATCTCTAAAGTAGTGGATCATATCCAATAATTTTCAATTTTAGATCTATAAAACTCTTGGTTACATTATCTCTAGTTCAAGTAGTAGATGTCAAGAGTTGATTTTTCACATAATCACTCAACTATTCAGAAATTCACTTTTCTTTGTTTTGTAACAGAAAAATTATTTAATTGTTGTCACTTCACGTAAAAAGTCACTTAATCAATTCAAGTTATATTTTCGGTAGATAATGATGGTGTGGAATTATTTTCAAGATCTTTTAAAAAATGAAAAGCCAACAATTCTCCGTCAGCCAAGGACTTAGTCAAAGTGGCCAAAATCGTTTTGTTATGAGACATCGGTCATGATCACTTTTAATGTATGATACAAACATGTCTGATTATCAATTCTTATCTCTAAAGTAGTGGATCATATCCAATGATTTTTAGTTATAGATCTATAAAACTCTTGGCTACATTATCTCTAATTCATGTAGTAGATGTCAAGAGTTGATTTTTCACATAATCACTCAACTATTCGAAAAGTCACTTTTCTTTGTTTTGTTACATAAGAATTACTTAATTATTGTCATTTCACGTATAAAATCACTTAATCAATTCAAGTTATATTTTCATTAGATAATGATGGTGTGGAATTATTTTCAAGCTTTTTAAAAAATGAAAAGCCAACAATTCTCCTTCAGCCTATGACTTAGTCAAAGTGGCCATAAGAATTTTGTTATTACATATTAATACAGACATGTCTGGTTCTCTTTTTCATCTTTAAAGTAATGGACTATAGCCAACAATTCTACGTTTTAAAGCCAATAAATATGGTATCATGATATGGAATCATGAGATGAAATTGAAGTTTTGTTTGGACATGTAATATGGAATTTTTGTGTTGTATAGTTCCTCATAGACATAAAAATCCCATAAGTTGTAAAACTATTAAAATAGCCTGAATTGTTTATTCAATCTTATCAAATAAATAAAAATTTATAAAATTGCATAATAAATTATTACAAAGCTATTTGTTCTCCACTTAAGTAATTGTTTCATCCAACCTAACTTTCACTTCATCAATATATTGGAGTAAATGAAAAGAAAACCTTTCATAGGCTCTTCAAGATTTTTTGATTGAGTATAAATAATTATGCATTTAAGCCTATCCAACCTAACTTTCATATCAATTTA